CTCTTTCCCCTGGCACCATGGCAGTCAAATTACAACAATTATTTCCCTCTGTCCTCCCCAAAAACAATTCTTTAAAGATTGTCTGTGCTGTAAAAATGACAGTAGGCCAAAAATCAGGAGCAGAACTTGAACACAATCCTGCACATTTTTTAAAAGAGTGGAGACTAAAAGGTGTTATAACATGAATTTCATTAATTTTTTGTTCCCATTACATTACTTCCTTCAATTAGAATACACAGTAAGTACTATATATATATCTATAGAGAGGAAATTAGGATTCATTTTTTTGTTCTAGTCACAGTAAATATGCTTAAGTAGCCATTTTCTCTTTTAGACTTTCAATTAACTACTCAAATTTTCCTCAGTTTTCTTAAGAACATTACGTTGTAGAAGAAAAAAAGATTCAAACAACTGTGCTAGATCATTCTTTAATTACAATGTAGCAAGAAGGGCAGTTGGCATCAGTGATTTCAAAGAAGTTCTATGAAGAATGTTTTTAAGCTGGAATCTGCTTCCTGAGTGATATGAAGTTTGATGATACTGTAAACACACTTCCAAATTACAGTTTTAGCTTAGAAGTTTGTTCTCCAGTCCCTGAGAAACATTGTCTTCAACTCAAGCTTCAGACTACAGTACAGAAATTTTATTTAGGTTAACGTAAATGTAAAACATTGCTCCTAGCTTTACTGTTCCTCTCATCCCAGTCTTCCAGTGACTGATGCTAGAACCCTTCGGAACTATTTTCTTATTTTGTTAAGCTCCTAAGAAAAAACAGTTTGATTTACAAGTCAAGAGCTACATTGGGATGGCTAAAAAAAAAAGTAATTAAACCCTTAAACACAGGTGAAACTCCATAATAGCACAAGTCTAGAATGACTGTGTGGGTACCTTTTCCTCCTCTGGAAAACACTTCAGGGGCTCATCCCATCACCCACACCAGCCTTTGATTAACTTTACTTTTATGCCACACAATTTTTGGCAAATTTATAAACTGAACAAATACAGGACAGCTAAGAGGTGCAGGTTAGAACGAACAACAAGCAGTACTCCTGCAACCCCAGGAAATATGCTTTCAGTAAAACAGTAGAACCCCAGAACATAGGTCTCAGTTTGGGAGAATGATGGATCTCTTAAAAGCTATTGACACACAACTAACTGAAGTACTTCACTTGACACCTTGGTTCTTTAAAAAGAGTAATGAAAACTACCATCATTTATTAAATGTCTAATCAAACCAAAAACTGTATTTATATATACACAATATACTAAATGAATTTAAAGTCTCTCCTTATCATATTCGACATTTATATAGCTACTTCAGTACACAAGAGTATGACAAAACTCAAAATTTTACGAACTTCAACATGACGCGGTAACCCAAACCTATTTTTTTTTTAAACATTCTTCTACCCCTCGACCAGAAATAATGGGAAATCTGGAAAGCACATAATGAAATGCCTACCTTTTATTTACTTCCTCATCCATAAATTCTGTGGGTATGAGAGAGAAGTATTTCCCCATCTTCAGCCACAGATTAGATTTAGGGATCCATCCATTGTGTGCATGAATAGTATGGATTTTAGCAAGTTGTCTGGCAATGAGTCTAAAAACAACAACATTTAATTTAATGTTATATTTGCAATAGATCTGACAGTCTTTATCATATTTCTCCTAGCAACAAGAGAAGACAACTACAATATATTTAACAGGAAAACGGTAAAAAATGCAGCAAGGGAATCCAAAGAGGGTTTAAACAAGAGCAGCACAGCTATAGGGTAGCACCTTAGAGACTCAAAAGGTCATTAGCAGCACTAAAGAGGGGGGGCAGAAGGGATGGAGTTCAGTTACAGCATGCATACTTCACCTGTATTTACAGTCCACTCTTCAACTTGCTTATCATTAGAAGAGTTGACTCAAATCAGCTGCCATTGTTAGGCAAATACATTTCAGTACATACATGAAAAGCTAAAATCTTAAGACATCAGCAATTTCTGTTCACTGCTAATACTTTACAAAGTTATGTCTTGATGGAAGAATATCTTGAACCTATTCACAAAAGGACTGTATTAGAAACAGAGCTAGGAGTACTTGCTTTAATCAAGTCCAGCCCCCTACAATTACACCATGTTAAATGATCTCCCTAATGGTAACGTGCAAGCGTTAAATACTCACAATAAGCAGACCTCTAGTGAGTATATAGTCTTCTGGGGAGGCAGCAAGGATCATTTGTTCAGCACTGAAATACCATGATAACTAAGATAGAGGACAGTGAGCTGTCACGAGTGTGAACATCAACTTAGTGCCGGCTTATAGAAATATTTCTTTTCTGCCTGCTCATAAACTAAGCTTGAGATCCTTTGGGCCTCACAGAACACCATAAATGCATCATACAACTTGAATAATGAAATAATAATAATTTAAAAAATAAAATAAAATAGCTTACCTGAAAATATCTGGATTGCATACATGCTCTGGATCCAGTGCTTCTCCCTGCATGAACTCATAGCACAGGCCATTATTGAAAGTACAGTATAGTTGAGGTGCACAACCATGAGCCTGCAACACACGGAAACTCTTCACTTCCTCATCTCGATCTACTAAGAGCTCGGTCTTATTTCCATAGATCCTAACTAGAACCACATCGTCTGTTATGTCACCCACGTAGCAGCCAATTAGTTTATTGGTGATTCCATCGGTGAACAGCTGAAAAGTAAAAACAATGCATAAGCAACTCAGATCTGCATTTTCAACATGCAGGAAAAGAATGCAGGGTTATTCTCTAATTCACGAAACATAAATGTTTACTAGATTGAGCATTAACAAAAGAAATCTTTAAGATACAGGAAAATAATGGAGAAAATTGCAAGGATTTTTCCAAGTAACACATGAGAAGAGGAAAGTGTGAAAACATGCTACAGTGAACTACAGAAATACTACATGTAAACACCAATAACTGAAAGCTCAATATTGTAAAATGAGTTTCCACATAACCACTCTAAAACTGATAGATTAAAATGGCTGAAATCAAAGCCCCAACAAGGCAGCAATCCTAAGCCAGTATGAAAACAGTCACAAATACAGGCAGCACAAAACCAAAAACAATTCTGATACACTTCAGAATTTCAGTATTTGCTGATCAGTGCACAACTAGTGAAAGTTATTCCTGGAGTTCAACACTACTCCTTTTAAAAAGCAAAATTCAGGTCAGAAACAGTTCAAGTTTGGTGGCTATCATCTTCCCACTAGCCTTGAGGTTTTACTGATTGATAACAATTACTAAAGTCACTTTGGCTCCTCTACAAATTTGAGACAGTATTTAAAATTCAAGACCCCAGTCTTCAGCCTCAAGCACGATTTGAAAGCTTCTAAGAAGACCCACCATCCTCCCATTTTACCTCATAATTGGTACATCCCATTTAAAAGAGTAGAGAAGCTTTTCAAGTCCTTATCATTAAGCTGTATATAAGTGCAATTTTTGAAGTCCCGCAATCTACTAGACTTTGACCAGTCTTTGATGCCTGAACATACTGAAGATGAAGCAAGTAACTTTCTACAAAAATAAGTTAAGAGCATTACGTTTACCTGTAATGACAACCTACTCACTGCCTTTCAAATAATCATGGAGGTATGGATACTACAAGTTCCTAGCTATGGGAAGGCAAGGGGAGCAGGGTGTCAAACCAAAAAAAACCCCACTCCTTAACTGCTGCTTCTCCTTTCACATTTGCTGATGAGGCCTAAAATAGTCATTATACAGGCTGAACTCTTGCAGATGCTACCTGACAAGCAGACTAGATCCTGAGTTACTGAGCTGCATGCACCCAGTTGCATGTAGTCAAGCATTTGAAATCCTGCTCAATGCCTGCAAGAGTAACACAGCAGTTCTTGATCTCCTCCTACAATCTGGGACAGTTTTACAGCTCAGAAAACAGATGTTTGGTGCTTTCCAGCGCTTTGCACTTTGCCAACCCAGACTGAATGCTTAAGAACTTGCTAGATGAGCACTACCCATATTAACTCTAGCTGTTAGCTAAGTGACTGAAGGGCAAGACATTAACATGCTCAGGTGACAAGCAGCATCACAAGCAAGAATGCCAACATTTTCATAACTACTGAACAGCCTCCTGCAGTCTTAAGCATAAGTAGTAAACAATTTAAAGTCGAGGTTCTCACAGCAACTGTAATTTATGTTCAAGTCAATTTTTTTTAGATGTTACAGTCATGCCTCTTCCTGCCTCTTCTCCCACCCTGTTCCCCCCAAAACCCTAATTAAAACTCAATTAAAAAAGAATAAACTCTCACACAAAGCAGAAAACCTCCTTTCAGGACCTTGCACTAAAACAAGCGAGCAGCAGGAAGTAGCTTCAAGCTGGTTAACATACACAGTTAGGCACACGCAATTTTCCCTTGGGGGGACATCTTACAAGTTTGATTTGACACCTTTCTTTAGGAAGTGCTTTTATCAGTAATTCTCATTTAGTTAACTCTTCTGGCATATGCACAAGAGACAAATGGAGATACAGTCTGATCAGCTTTATCAGAACTTTTTCAAACTATGTAGGTCCTTAAAGCCGCAAGCAGCTTTTATTTAAAGGCAACCTGAAGACTCTGGATAGAATTTTTTTAATTTATGATCGTAATAGAAGCTAACAAATCAGCTGAAAATTGAAACCTATTTATCAGAATTAGAATATTAAGCATTCAAGGACAAGTTCAAATTCCGGATTCAGACATCCTCCCACATTTCTTCTCCCTCAAACCCTAAGTAGGGCCCAAAACAAAAATACTGACAAATGGAGAGGTCTGTTGCATTTGAGACCTTATATTAAAGTACTTTTTGTTTTATTAAAATACACATCAACAACAGGCAACTTCTCTACAGGCATTATCATTCCTTAGAACCTTGGACAGTTTTGGTGGTGGGTTTGTTGGTTTGTTGTTTTTTGTTTGTTGGTTTTTTTTTTTTTGAAAGCCAAACACAAATTCAAAAACTTTTATTTCCCCTTCCCCCCTCCAAGAGGCAGCCTTTGTTTTGAAAAGTAAAGTAGTATCATTCAACCACAAGTGACAGCTTATTTCCACATCTCAGGGATTTGGAGAACTCAAGCATCAAGGAGCATTTTTTTAATGCTTTAAGTATGGCTTGTAAGTCACAAACTACACCTTTATATTATAATGTCTTCATTCATACCCTTCTCCCTTGTAAGTGTATTATTGTCACAGAACTATTTAGATCAGAAGGGACCTCCTGTGATCATTAGTTCAACCTCCCTGCTCAAGCAGGGCCAACTAGAGCCAGTTGCCCAGGACTGTGTCCAGTGAAATCTCCAGGGTCTCTGGAGACTCTACAACCTGTCTGGGCAACCTGTTCCAGTGTTTGACCACCCTCATAGTAATAAAGTGTTTTCTTGTGTTCAGATGGAATTTCACATGTGTTTTATTGTGTGTCCATTGCCTTGCCTGTCACTGGGCACTGAGAAGAGCCTGGCTCTGTCTTCTTCACTGCCCCCCGCCCCCCCTCAGGTATTTATACCTATTGGCAAGATCCCTGCAAGCCCTCTTTTTGCCAGGCCAAACAGTCCCAGCCCTCCCAGCCTCTCCTCATATGAAAAGACGCTCCAGTCCCTCAATCATCTTCGTGGTCCTTTGGTGGACTTGCTCCAGTGAGCCTGTATCTTTGTCATACTGGGGAGCCAAGAACAGGACACAGCACCCTAATATGGCAAATGAATGCATAAGTACTGATTTTCATACATTTTAGCATAAAACCAGAATTAACTCATTAGAAAGTTTAAAGAGCACTTTGCAGAAGTGATCAGTGTTGAGCTGTTGATCAAGTTAAAAAATATCTTGCCTGCCACATATAAATGAAAACTTCTGAAATGTAACATTAGAAAAAGCTCTTATCCTGTCATTGCAGGACCAAAAGAAAAGTGAAAGTTCTGTTGAACTAAGAAGGATCAAAACCAGTAAGCATAAAATTCACTATCCCCTCTGAAGAGAAGTCCGTTGTCTTTATCGAATGGCAAAGGTGGCAAACACAATAGGCACTAATTCTCAACGTACAATGGCATCACTTCAATCACTTGTGCTACCGTTTTCTACTTATTATAAAACAACCCTCTAATGAAGCTTGCCTTTCGCTCCATAGAAAATTGTACTATAAAAAAGACAAGGCTCTAAGGCCATCAGAAATAGTGATACCACCAAAAAAACAGACGTTAAGTAGTCGTGATGCAAAGAAGCAGTAAGAATTTGATTTGCTTATGCTGTTAAACAGAAACTTCTGGCCACTGTACAGCTTCTGTCATAGTGCACAGGTCTATTATCGCCTTAAAACAAGTCTCATTAGTGTTAATAAAAAGAAATCTACAACAAGGAAATTGAACTCCCTCAACTGATAATTTAGGAACTCTACTTCTTATTAGCATCTATTTGTAACATGCTGCTATAAGTAATTATTTACACCCAGGAGCATTTTAGTTATTGCTTCTTAAAAAGGCAGAAGGGTTTGCTTACTTTTCTAATAACATTATCCAAGGTAGACATTTCCATACTCCATCATGAGAAAACATCTAATGTTTTCTACCAGTAAACGAACTTAATACTCACTTTATTCTTTTATTCAGAATGCCTTTACTGTAGCATTTAAAGAATCAGCTTAGAATGCCTTGCCTGACATGTAACCTGAGATGCAGCACAAGCAAAACAGGAATTCTGTAACAAAAGCATCGCCTGAGCAGCATAAAAAGAGAATGGACTCTGATGACATGGATAAGATAATCAGTAAACTCTCAAGGCCATGTGGAAGACAACGTAAGAATCTACAGAATGTTACGAATAGCAGCTAGAAAATCCTGGAAATAAGTAAGAAATACAAAGTGCCAACAGAAGTCAAGAAAACAATGCAACACAAAAATCCAGCAGCACGATTCTGGTACTCTTGCAATTTAATTATTTAATTTAAATATTATAATTACATTAAAATTATTGTGATATGTACTTATTACATTGTAGTTAGTACTTTCAGGTAAGGTGACACAAAGCTAAATTCCAAAAACATTTCTGGAAATGCTATTTATACTGGCCTACAATCCAGTCAGATCTAGCTTGAAGTTAAGGCTTTCTAGCTCTTGGGAACAAATATAAACTGTTCATTGAAATGCAGAGTGAAGGTGAATAAGCTACAAATAAGCCCGAGTTACTCAAATGCAGTCTCAGGAAGCAGCACATGGTAGAAACAAGACAGGCCAAGTGAGTCCAGGAAGAGCAGAGAAAACTCAACCAAGACAAAGTATCTTTGAGACAGTTTACATTAAAAGCACTCTTATCAGCATCAATCAGATTACTAGATTCCTGAAATGGGCATGTGATAGATATGTTCCCATCTCATAAGCAGGTGGTTCAAGAAAAGTTTATATCTAATCCTATTGTTCCAAGTGTTCAAAAGAACGAGAACAAAATTAGTCACACACAGTAAGAGTGAACAGGCAAAAATAAAGTGTCACGGGGCAAAGTACAAAGCACTTATCACTCAGAGAAGAGATGTAAAACCAAGCAGATTTTTTCCTGCTAGACTGTTAATTACATCCATAGGAGGAAAAATATAGAAAGCAGTATTGTACTGCTGTAGAAACAGAACAGTGACGTGAAGTTTCTGCTGAACCTCAAATTGCACAGCAAGATCTCCAGAAAGGAATAGACTTTT